TTGCGTGGCGAGAGCTCGAGAGCTAATGTTTTGGCCTGGAATGACTAGTCAGATACGGGATCACGTTTCAAACTGCTTAGCCTGTCGAGCACATGATGTCCGCCAGCCGAAGGAGCCTATGATGCTTCGTGAGGTCCCGGAAAGGCCGTGGCAGAAAGTCGCCCTAGACATCTTTGCACATGACGGAAAGAATTACCTGATCGCTGTCGATTACTTTAGCGACTATTTCGAGATTGATGCTCTCACGTCTACTAGCACACAGGCCGTGATAAACAAGCTACGATCGCAGTTTGCGCGACATGGGATACCGGAAGAGGTAGTGTCCGACAATGGCCCCCAATTCAACAGCGCCGAATTTCGGAGTTTCAGCGAAAAGTGGGATTTCCTTCATCGTTTAACCAGCCCTTACCACAGTCAGTCAAATGGAAAAGCTGAGTCAGCCGTGAAGGAAGCAAAGAAGTTACTCACCAAAGCCAAGGAGACCAAAGAAGATCCTTACATCATGTTGTTAGAACGAAGGAACATGCCATCTGCCGAAATTGGATGCAGTCCAGCGCAACGTCTGTTTGGCCGTAGGACAAGAACCCTGTTGCCGATCGCCAATACTCTGCTGCAGCCTGAAATACCATCGCAGAGCTTGATGTATGAGCGCTTGCGTGAGCGCATGCTTCGACAAAAGAAATATTACGATCGCGGAACGAAGCAGCTTCCACGCCTGTTGCCCGGAGACGAGGTCTGGGTCGCGCCGACACCGGGAGCTAACGGGTCTTGGAGGAGAGGGCGAGTAGAAGGTCTCAAAGGCGAACGAAGCTACGACGTAAGAGTTGGGGATAGTCTATTTCGACGCAACCGGGTGCAGTTAAGGAGACAACGTGGTGAACAAGCACGGCATCGTGCGAAGCAGCCAACGCAGCCGGACATTTCGGTGGATACGGCAGCACACGACCACAAGACTACACGCAGTGGAAGGCGATACAGCGCTTACGCAATCGGACTACAAAAAAACGAAAAAAGGAAGGATGTGATGGTAGCTTACGTGCCAAACCGCCAGCCAACAGCGCGAACTGGTTTCCACCAATCGGCAACACAATCGGAGATCGCAATCAGTTCGCGGCACCGCCAACCAGTGGCGCACACAAGCTACCGATTGGACGAACAGACCAACGGCTCGGCAAAGCGTCTGGCAAACAAGCGTGGTCCGAATATCCAATCAAAACCCGAGACGGCTCGCAAACGAGTAAGCGACGTTAAGGGGATCGAGGACTTGCATCAGACGCCTGACCAATCAGCGTCACGTCAATCCGGTACGCGAACGACCGTCCATAGGCCAGAAAGAGCAGGCACTGAACCGAAACCCATCGGCCGATTGGTTTTTGATCGTCAAGACACAGCATGGGGAACCAATTGTAGCAAATGCCATGGACGAATTACGACCGAACGATTGGAGGCGAAACGCCCAGGATCAAAGGACACTGGCAAATGGAGACAAATGCATGAAAGTGTAGTAGCCGAATAGAAACGGGCGCAGAAAATGGTCATATCTGATATAAAAAGAAAGCAATTCTCGCCAATAAAGATTTTCGTGTCGCCGCCACCTGTTGTTCTTTCTGCCGGAGGGCCGCACGTTTTTA